AAAAAAAAAAAAAATAGCGTCGAGGCAGCCCAACGTCATACATCTCTCTACGTGCGTCGGGTGCCCTTCTCATATTGCTCCATGCCCCTCTGGCCGTGCGGCGAGACTCTGTTATCCCTCACGCAGTACTCCCTCGCACACGGTGCTACCAGAAGGCCCCCGGCGCATTCAGATGACGCACCCTCTCTGACTTTTTTCACCCTGTTACCCTCTATCAACATCCATATCCAGACGCCCCTCCCTCTTTCTCTCTCACACCCTCCCAAGTATAAAAAAAAAACAAAAAAGCATCATTGATGTTGCCTATTTTTATTCTTTCCTCACTTTCATGCTCTAAAAGAGAAACTCAGGTGAGGGAACGAAGCTGTGTGGAGAGAGGAGTGCTTCTGCACCCCCCGCTCCTCACACCCCTTTTGTTGCTTAGCGCAGGAAGCGCTGCGAGGGCGAAATAAGGGCCAGCTGTGGAATCTCCGGCACAAGACGCCACGCGCCAGGTCCTACGCTCCGCAACTCCTGGCAGAACGCGCATGGTGCCAGGCAGAGGCAGACGCAGCAGCAGTCACCAATGATGTTGCCTCGCGAGCCGTTCCTTTTGCGCAGGTTGTAGCGTATGAAGAGACGCCCAAGTGGGAGGCAGAGAATACAAAAACAATGTGGCCAACACGAACACGGCTCGTCCAAGCTCGAGGCATACAATTTACATGCGGCGCACGGAATGCAGCAGATCCAGTGCACCAGGCAGCACATGACGCCGAAGAAGTCAGGAGAGCCGCAGCACGGCGCCAACTTCCAGCACTCCCACACCGCACCGGCCTGCCCGGCCCACACCCACTGGTCAAAGCCGCAGATGCCCAGCGGCAGGGTTGCTGTGACCTCCGAAAGTTGTTGGCCCATTGCTGTGATACGCGACTCTGTTAGAGTTTCTAGGCGATTAGGATATGTTCGAAAACACTTTGAATTTCTGCGGGCGGGCAACAAAAAAAGAGAACCGAAAACGAAAGACACTCGTGAAAGTGAAGGATGCAGAGGCAGAGGAGAGCGGAGGGCAAGGGGCAAGGCAAATGACTCAGGCGCAGTCAGCAGACACGCAGACCAAAAAAAAAAAAAGAAGTGAGGACACGATGCAGACACCGTCGCAACGCCCCTCTTGTTTTCTCCACTCCACAGGGAACACACAGCACCACAACGTGTCGGTGTGTGTGGCTGGGACCACGGCACACACACCGACACAGAGAGGCAGCAAAAGGGAGACACACCAGAAAACAGAAAACTACCGCTTCACTTTGCCTGCCTGCAGGTCAAACGGGTCGAGCGTGAGAAGTGAGCAGAGAAATGATGTCAGCTGCAGCGTCGCAACGCGCTCGCCGCTCTCCGCACCGCGTTTGCGTGGCGACAGCGACGGTGTGCTGAGTGGTGAGGAGCCGAACAGCATGCCGGAGGTGGCGCTGCCGCTGCCCGGTACAATGAGCGAGCGCACCACGAAGCGTGAGGCGATGCCGCGGATGAACTCCGACACCAGCGTCTTCAGCAGAACGACGGCGGCGAGCGCGAGGACGAAGAGCAGCGGCGCATGCGTCAGCAGCAGGCGGGCGAGCGGCAGGAGGCTCCACAGCAGCAGCGCCGCGTACGGCACCGGGATGAAGCCGGTGCGCCGCACGTACTTCGGGAAGAAGCCGGCACTCGGTGAGAGCAGCGCCTTCACGTCGCGGGTCTGCGCCGGCGGGTCGTCGACGCACCGCGCACACACGCCCGAGAGACGCCACAGCACCGTCTCTGACGCAATGTCGAGCAGCGTCAGCTGCGAGTAGCGGCGGTAAACGCCGAGCGAGATGCCGTTGAACTTCGCCACGAAGAGGTGCTTTGTAAAGTCAATAAATACTTCCGCCAGCAGCACCAGCAGCGTGTCGGCGACGTCGAGCACGTGGAAGCGCTCGTGCATGTGCTGCATCACCATGACGAGGACAAAGAGAAAGAACTTCAGCCGCTCAACCGCGTCCGCCGCAGCCACCTGCAGCAGCGACTCCCGGTTATGCTTCTTGTACGCAACACCCTTTATCTCGTTAAAGTTGGCGCTAACCATCAGCGCTAGAAGAAGGTGCCCCTCCGCATTCACCGCCACGTTGAGTGTCACGACCGACAACAGAAGTACCACGGAGTGTGTGGCGACACACAGCGCCGAGACGGCGGCGCTGCCAACCGGCAGCCACAACGATGACAGCAACGATGAGGATGACGACGACGACGAGGATGGCGCGACACCGTTGCCACGGGGCGGCGGGGGTTCCGCCTCGCCCCAGTCCTGCACACACGCCGTCAGCACCTCAATGGCCTCCTGCGAGAGCGCCGACAGCAGCTTATCCGCCACCTCGAGAATGTTGAACACCATCACGAGCTTGATGAACGACGTGCGCCGCACCACGTGGTACAAGTAGGCGTACAGCTGCTTTGTGTAGAGTGCCAGCAAGTGGTACGTGAGAATGCCAACAACAATCAAAACTAGCGCCACGACATCACGCCGCTCAAAACGTGGGAAGACCACAACTAACTTGAGCGGCAACAGCAGGAGCGACAGGAGATTCTCTGCCATGCCGAGCATCGTGACGGCGAAGTAGAACTCGATGTCCGCCAGCATCTCCGGCATCCACATAAAGTGATGCAGCTGCTCCTCAAAGCGCATGTCCCTCCGCACGCGTGGCGGCTCGCCGTCGCTGCTGGCCGGCTGCCCCGCCCGCTCCTGCTGCGTCGCACCGAACAGGTCGCGCACGAACTGCTCCCTCATACGAATGCACCTCACACCTCCAGCAGCACAGGGGGCAATGACAAGTAAATAAAGGAAGAAACAAAGCACACACAGAGACTCTGCAGCAAATCCATCACACGCCCCGCCCCCATACAGAGGAGAAATCAGAACAGCCTAACGCCC